AAGATGCGCCAAACTAGGAATGTTTTCTCAATCATCTCAGCATTGGTATATAAAGGGCGAAAATCATCCAAGTTTTGTTGCCTACACATTAGTTGAGATTAATCAAATTACGCTGTGCAAAGGGGACTTCAATGGCAAATGAACTTGGATCTATAAGCAACCTTTGGCCTGCGAAATGATCAGCGACGCCGGGATTCCATCAGCGGCCCTGCGGTCTGACCGCTTGCTGCATGGATGCTCATAGGAGGGCTGAAATTGCTGATAACTCAAAATTGGGTTGTACTTTCTCCCCCATTTTACAGGATTGTGTGTGCCGGTCTCAGTGTCGACATACACTGAGAGGCCTTGCAACTTGCGCACAGAAATGCATTTATCATAACATAACAGGCAAACTGTAGTATTTGTTTCACCGATGGGTAGGTTTGGTAGCGTTCAATTGTGGACTCACTTCCCGCCCACGGGCCAGGCAGCCTCCCGACTTGCCCACAGGCGCCAAAACCAACGCCTGTGGGCTTGTTAATGTCCGCCCGGATGCTGGCAGTAGCCGTGGCAGGGCCTCCGCCCGTCGGGTCCTACTCCAGACGGGCGCCGTCGCGTTCACAAAACAGTCAACAAATCGCCTGGCGTAGGCCGCGCCCCCCGACCGGGGCAGGCTGAAAATCAACAATTTCCACCCTCTTCCCTCTGGACATGCTTCGAAGACTTTGCCCATCAAGGACAGTGTCTGGCACGCAAAAGGTCCCTTAGGCCTGTGTTCTTACTTGCTCCAAACGACGCCCTGGAAGTCGATGGCAAGTCGAGCCAACCCAGACGCAGGGGAACCTCGTGGTGGCCCAGAGTGGGCGCTGATCGGGCCAGGCGTACCGACGGGTCTATTATGGTGCCCCAGCGCTCCGCGTGGACTCCCTGGGCGGGCCGGCCGCTCGGTCACCGACGCTCAAGTGTGAGCCGCTGCATGTGGGCTCAACTTGATGAGCTTCAACTGCGGCATTCTTCGCGCATTATCCGGTTGATGCAGAACAAAGCTTCGGAAACATCTGCATGTTGATAAATTAGGAATTGGAAGATTCAACTCAGTCCAATGAATGTTGCAGATCTTCAAGATCCACTGATCTGTATCAATAGCCGTCATCTTCACAATTCAGGGTGTGTTTTGCAGGTAAACAAGGTACAACGTATCAAGAAATATTTAGGAAATGCTACACACACATCGCTGCTGCGGCCCCTTGGCTTCTCATTGGACACGCCGCTAGCATTGCCCACGGTCCTGAAGATTGATCTTTGCCGCAAATGACCAAAAGTGCCCCTGCGACAAGAAGACGGCGATAGACTTGACTCCCTCCACGCTACTCCTCAGGTAATTTTTGTTCACCGGCAATACCCTTTCTAACCTCTACTTAGCCTTGTGAAAAGCCACCATTGTGTTTTAAATGTTTTGCTTGCAAGCACTAGCCCGACAGGACGTCGGGGGTGGCGAGGATGGCCTTGCACGCCCACATGCAGCGCGCGGGAACAGCAGCTGTGTTTTGAGAGTTTTGGACAAAGGCACTCAGGAGACCAGGGGAAATCAGCGTGTCGAACGGGGGGCGTACACATCCGGAAGTTTGGCAGGCGTTTATGCAATATTGACAGCCCCTTGCATTAACGCCGCTCTACAGACATGGGCACTGAAGGCTAGCTTTGATCCAACGGCTTATTAACTTTGCATAAAAGCTTACCAAACTTCCAAATGTACCTCAGGGCTGACAAACGGGGTCGCTGATCCAGCATTGCTGCAGCACTGTCTTTTTTCGGACGTTGCATCAAGATGCCTTGTTGGAGGGTTGATAAACACCGACATCACAGAGCCATTGATTCAAGTGCAGTTCACCAATGTTGGTCGTCAAACCCCATCAATGTTGCATCAACGCCCACTGAGTTTCCGGATGTAGCGTCAATTTGACGCCAGAGGGGAGGGGGGTTGTACAGATCTATAATACGCTATGAGGTTAATAACCTCATAATATGTAACCAACATAATATGTTTTGCATCATCATATATAATAACCAACATAATATGTTTTGCATCATCATCTACAGAGGCTGGGGAAATGCCATTGCTTGTGTAGCTGCCCCACGCCGCTCTTCCCGAATATCCTCAGCCAAAACTGACTTGCTGTCGAGATCTAAGGCGTAAATTGGGTCCACTCCGTGGCAGGAAGTGTCTCTTGACGGTGAGAGTGCGAACAGCAGCAGCATCTTGGAATGGCGGCTATGGCGGATTCCGGCCTGAAGGCCCACGTCCTGCCACCGTATGAGTTTTGGTCTGGCAGTGCTTGGGGCCGACCATTCATAACATCGCGGGGGGAACCTCATGCTCGTCTCTGGCGCCATCCAGTTCCCCGAAATTCCTTATTCATCTGCAAAGGCAGATGTGGATGCAGTGGCGTGTACGGAGAATTAACGTTGTCAATTGGTTTCTGATTAGGGAGAAGTGGATGGGACCCGAGAGCACGTCAGTAGTGTTGACGGCAGAACACACGGGGTGGATGTCCTGGCCGGCGCCTTGATCCTAAGACCCAAGGGCGGGGAGTGAACGAGAGCCGAAGATGTGTATCCGGCATGCACTTTAAGGGGGTCACGGCCTGGTGTTTACGCAGGAAGACTTGGCGCGCTTTTGAGTCGGGGGGTGCCGCATATTTACATGTAAATTTACGGGAAAATTGTTCGTATGTAAATATAGGTAAATGGTAACTTGCGGATGGTCCCCAAGACCGCCTCCATCCTGTTTTGCGCTCCCGCCCGCCCATCCCTAGTAGTGTGAGTTCGGTTTGAGGAAGGCATTAGTGAAGTATAAAGTACTGGAGGAAGTGTTATGGTTTTAAGTCGCGAAGCAATTTAAGGGCAAATTTCGGTACGACGGTCGATGGGCTTTGTGTTTGGGTGGCGCGCACCTGGGAGAAATTGTGTGACGTACTTGGCCAGTGTGGACTCGGGCGGGAACAGTACCCTGTCAGGTAGAAACAGTGTCATTGATGCAACGCCGAACAATGTTACAGCTTGGCCTGCATATAAGCACTCACGCAACACTGGCGCGCGCATCAACGCTTCTCAATATCTACGTATGGGCAATTGCTGGAGCGTTGCTGGGCAGTTTTAGCCGCACTGCGTAGATGGCAATGCAGCTACGGCATGGCATTAGCACCGACCTTATTCCGTCATGTTGGCAATGTCCCTGGATCCTTTACCAGAAGCGCTGGTGTTCCGGAATTCGTTAAAGATACGGCAGAGAACATGGTGGTTTGCGCCATTTCGCTAATCTGGCCACCAACCACCAGCATGGCACGGAATGATTTCGCAATGCCGTCAGTGCCAAAGATGAAATCTCGGTGGCGCAGGGCCCGTGGGCTCGAAGGCAGCGCACAGCTGAGGACGTGCACATGCAACACCTATTTCGTATGCACACCCACCGATGACACCCAAAATGGACTCCCCAACCGAATCCTTCCAACATTACACAATGTCACAAATGTCACCAATGTCGTCACGGTCATCGTCAGACGAACACGATTGACAACCCCAGAAAGAAGCCAATGCACAAACGAAAACAGGCGCCGGGCAAAAAGCTGACGACACCATCGGACGCGTCAGCATCTCAGTCCCAGTTCGCCTTCCTGCCACTTTCCAGCAAAGTACAAAGAAAAGAATCCGGTGAGAACGAAGCAATGCAACCACGCCAAGGACACGACTCCTCTGACACCGCCCCGCCGCTCATAGACTGTTTAGCTATGGGTGGGTGTCTCAGCGTGCGGTCAAGGCAACATCACCCCCACACTCCTTTGGTCACGCCCATGTCCGCATGGCCGTCCGAGAAGTAACTACTCCTTGCACCAGCGCCCTCCACATCCACATAGCTGAGCGGACCAAGCGGGCCTATTTATTTCTGGGACCCCACAGCTGCAGCGTAATATAAGTATATGCACATGCGCTCCGAGTGGGGCCCCTGCACAATGCCACGATTCCAGTGCCATGTCTCAGCCAACAACAAAAGACAGCAAAAAAGAGCTCGACCCCGGCAACCAGCAACCACAGGTTCCCATGACATCATTGGGGGAACCCAAAAAAGCCGACAGCTGCCTCGTACCCAGCACAATGCCTGGCAGCACACACGCACACACACCCACAGACCCACACACACCATCGCCCGCACAGGACCTCCGCCACTGCCATGAACCAATCCCCCACGCTATGCTACTCCGACATTTCAAAGACCCCCGCAGTCGGGGCCAACGGCAAGGTTCGCCTGTCCCCTTTCACACAGAGACAAAGTCGTTCAGGGTTCTCCTCTCATTGACAAGTCTAATAGCTAATCGCGTCACACCTTGTCACATACTCGCCTCTCCAATCCTCTCCAGTTCTGATGCTCTCGGTTGATGTCTAGTCAGTTCTCCATATGTTTTCCCCACAGTGCTACTATCAAAGGCACCTCCCGCAGTCTTGTCACAAAACACTATGCCAGGGCAGCTCAAGCTGCAGCACCTGTCCACTTGGGCTGGTGCAGCTCGGTTGGCGTCGCAGGTCAATTTATTCCTGTAACAGTTGCTGCTGGGTGCTGTGAAGCACCCAGGCAACCACCCGCGGCCGTCCTCCACTGCCCTGGCGTAAAGAAAACAAAGAGAGGTGCCCGTGTTTCGCCCCCACGGTTGAGTTCTTCGTGACGAGTGCACTTTCAGCCACTGGCTGGGAGAAAGAATACAGCACACTTGACAAACCGAAAAAAATCGCCTTCCCTGAAGCTGTGACGCGATGTGCCCATGGTGCCCAAGCTGCCCAAAACATCCGGAACCCATGAACATACAGATGCAGACTCGACGGCGGCCAGGTTTCGCACAAATTGGCCGCCCGCCCCTCCACCACGTCCCACACCCGCCCACGCGACACTGGCCGCGCCGCGCAGTTTCCCCTCCCTTCGGACCCCCGCCCCAAAATCCCATGCCCCCAACGTTGAATCAAACTCAAAATTACGGCCACTGCCGCTGCTCCACCCCCGGCTGGAAGCACGTCAGCAGCTTGGCTAGCGCCCTCGCAATGGCCACGGACAGGCGCCGCCGGCGCTCGTACTTCTTCCTCAGTTTCTTGCGGTCCAGCCAGGCCTCGTCCACATACGACCTGTTGGTGTGACAGATGAGCCGCTGGCCCGACGTGGCCAGCCCAACCCACGACCTAGACGAGTCGTACAGCTGACTTCTGGCTGGAAGGGCCCCCGCCTTGGACGCCGCCCGCCTCGCCTTCTTCGCCTCGTGGTTCTCCTCCTCCGCAGGCTCGATCTCCGCGCAGCTCGGCGCGTGCCGCCGGGAGTCTGTCGACGTCCCTCTCATCCTCGGCGGCTTGGCGGCCGAATCAAACGACTCCACGGCCGGGCAGCTGCACCCTCTGCTCGACTTCTTGGGATCTGCATCCCCTTCCTGCTGCTTCTGTTTTTTGTCCGCGTCCTGCCGGCTGGTGGGGTGGTCCTTCGCCGACTCCCCCCGCCTGAGGATCATCTCGTTGTCCCTCGTCGGCACCTCACGCCTGGCACGCGCCCTGCCGAAGTCGAACAGCTTGTTCCTGTAGATCGCAACGCCGGGCATGCTGCGCCCTCGACCCTCGGACGCCTCGGAATCGCTCGAAGGCCTCGATGCGTTGTCGCAGGAGTCGAGTTCAACAAACCGCACGGACTGCTCCTCCTCCGAGATGCCGACTCGCGTCGCCGCCAGCAGGCGCTCGGTGTCGGTTGTTGTGCTGCGCAGGAACTTGGACAGCAGCTCGGTGGCGCTAGGCTGGGCGGCCCCCAGGGGCACGAAGCGCCCGCCAGGCTGCGTGGCCATCGCGCTCTCCAGCTGGTCGGCGCTGAAGCTGTTGCTCACGAAGTCGAACTGGACGTTGTACAGGCCCGCTGCGGTCTTCATGGGGGTGCACTGGCCGTCGCCGAACGCCGCGTCCTCGCAGCACCACAGGTCGGGGCACTTTGCGCTATGCTGGGGGCGCGGGGACAGCGCCTGGGCGACCATCAGCTGCATGTCCGCCGTGGTGAGCACGGCGGAGTCCAGGGTGGTGCTGGAGCTGGTCACGGCGTCGTCGTGCCACATCCCGGCGCCGCGCACGGACCCGTCGTCCACGAACACAAAGTTCAGCCCCGCGGACCCCCGCGAGTCCACGTCCCAGAAGGTCATCATGGGGCCCGCGGCCATGGGCACCTCCTTGACGGGAGTCGCCTGCTGGATTGGCTGGGAGGACTGGCTGTCGTTGGCCGACTCCGCGGCCGCGTCCGGGGAACACGAGCCCGTGATCGCGTGCACGTCGCCGCATGAGTTGAAGAAATCCGCCACCTGATCGACGGCCTGCCTGGGCAACGCCGGCACGGATGCACCCCTCCTGAGGGCCAGCTCCTTCGACGACAGCCCCAAACTCCCTTTCCTCCCCGATGCCGCCAGCGCGGCCAATTCCCTTCCGGCGCGCTCCGCCGCCTGCGCCTGGGCCGCATCCTCCCGACCGGCCCCTTCCGTGGTCCCCTGCTTGGCTTCGTCCTCCTCCCGCGGAGTGGCCAGGTGGAACGGGTTGGACGTCCAGAACGTGCGCGACTCGACTGCGGCCATCTCCTGCCTGGTCACCTCGTGCACCTCCAGATCCGTGAACTCGTCCCGCAGCGCGGGCTTGATCGGCGCGAACGAGTACGCCGAAGAGCAGATCGACGAAACGTCCCCGCTGTCCATGATCGACCCGTACATCGGCACCACCTCATAGGGCACCGCGCAGCCCACCACGGGGAAGTCGTCGCTGGGTCCGCCGTCACGCGATGTCGTCGCCGTGCTCCGCGAGCAGAGGACCTCCCCGGAGGGCACTCGGCACAGGCTCAGCGTGCCGCTGGCCTGCCGCTTGATCCCCAGGCCGCCGCCGTGTGTGCTGACCGGGCGGGGCGGCACCACGCACGCCTTGTCCGCAGCAGGCATCGAGGGCGATCGCCGGATGTCGCCTTCTGTGGAGTTTTGGCGGCGCACTGGCTCCCTTCACCTGGGGAGACACAGCGGCTGGATTTCAATTCATTCCTTCGCTGCGGTTCAGCCTTCGAATGACAAGCCGGCGGCCTTGCAAGCAACGGAGGGCATGCATCCAAGCACCAGTCCATCAGGAGTTTGTTTCAGACGCTCACAAGCTGTCTGCAAATCACGGCGGCGAAGCAGGCTCAATTTCAACTCCTTCGCTTATGCTCCACTTTCGAACGACAAGGACCGGGAGGGAAAGGGGGGGGGGGGGGGGGGGGGGGGGGGGGGGGGGGGGGGGGGTGCAGGCGTTGAAGGGGCTCCATGCCTCCAAACGCAATTCTCCATCGAGCCAAGTGTTCGCTTCAGATGCTCGCAGCCGCCTGCTGACCGCAGCGGCGTCAGGGTTTGCATTTGCAAATCCATCGCTCACGTTCTGCCTCCGGACGATCAAGCGGCGGCCTTGTTCACAATGAACAGTGTGCAGGCATCCAAACCCGCATCCGCTGCGAATCAGCCGCCCGTTCCAGACGTTCGCCAACCGTCTGCAAGCCACAGCGGCGGCCGTGGGGCTGCGCATGGACTGCAGAGCGAGGGGGGAGTTCCAGGCGACGCAAAACGCGGAGCAAATGAACACAAGACGCAACTTTCGGCGCGTCTATGAACAGAAATTGACAAAGGCAATTTCCTTTATCGGCCTCGCAGGGGGCCGGAAGGTGCGGCGAGGGGATGGTGTGGGACCGCGGGCGTGAGAAGGCGTCGTGGGCTGGTCGTGGACCGTGCAGCCCAAGCGCTTGCGGTTCGCTCCCAAGGTCGTCGAAGGGCACTACCCGCTGACGGGATCCCCGCTTACTCGGCCGGGGTCTATGTCAGTCCCAAAGCCCAGTAGTCAGCGCATCGCGAGCTGGCACCAAACTACCAACAGATTGGAGATTGTGCAAAAGAAACGGCGAGTAAAATAATGCTCGAGCGCCGGTCCACCGGAAAAGGGAGCGTGGAGGTGCGCACCCACTCCACCGACGCTGGAGTTGTTCACGGTGACCACAAGCACCAGGTAAACCTTGTCCACGCAGTCCACATCTGCATCTTGCCGTCTGCCCATCCCGTACAGCACGGCACGTAATGCAATTGATTTTGCCGCTCCAACTTCCCGACCGCCGTCCACAACAGCGGCCGCGCGTGCGCTCTGCCACGGGTCCAAAACAAATACCGCCGAGCCGCCGGCCGGAAAGGTGCCTCAGCGGCGCCAGCCCACTCGAGCGGAAGAGAAACAACGATCAGAACGGGCAAAAAAAAACTGCCGCCTGCTACGACGCAAGTACGACCCGTTGTCTGGAACACCAACAAAAAGTGAACGGAGCAGGCTGAATGGCGCTGCCCGCGCCGTCCAATAGCTTCAGCCGCGCTGAAACGTCCGCTGCAAGCTCCCCGCAGGTCTCGACACCGCTGCACGCCCGTCGCGGCCCGTTCCAATCGGATCCCCCCCAGGCGTCCAATGTGCCGCCCCCCCACCCCCTCTCGCCCCGCGGGCCGTGCCCACCGCCCCTGGCAACAACTTCGCTCCCCCAAATGATCAAACATCCCCAAGCCAAACTCCCCCTCTCTCCCTCCCTCTCTGTCCTCTCTGCGTTCTCCTTTCGCCCCTTCGCCGCGCCGCGGGAGCCCCCCACACCAGCCCATGGCCGCACATGGCGGCATTGCACCCGCGCTAGCTCCAATGGCCCCAAAATGCCCACAAATCCGCGACGGCCACAGCGCCCTCCGCCCCTTAGATCTCATTACCGATCTTCCCTCAGTTCGCGCCGCCCCCCTTTTGCGCGGCACGGCCAGTCCGTCTACGGCGCGCCCACCTGAGCGCTCGGTCCGCGTCCCGGGCCCCTCTCGATCCGATCCGCTCTCCGCCCTTGTCCGACCCCCCGAGGACGCCGGTAGCTGCCGTCTTCAGTCCGCAGGCGCGCCCGCGCGCACCGTCCTCTGAGCTACCGGCCGCCCCCCCAGCCGGTGTTCGCTGCCGGCCTGCTGGCGCTGACCGCCGAGATCAGCGAAAGGCGCGATGCTGCATTTGATGCAGCGGCCTCACATCAACCACCAGGCTGGGTTCGATGGCCGAAAACCGTGGCCACAGCCGCCGTGTCTGAGTAATTGTCCCGAGGGGCGCCCAGTGCGTCTGGGGGAGATTGGGTACGATTGCGTATCAGCGGGAGTGCGTTGATGGGCTGTTTCCAAAGAGGGGGATGAGATCCTCCTGGGTGGCCGCTCAGGCAGATTCGCGCCGGGGGGCTATCAGTCAGACCAGCGTCATTCACCCCAACGGTGAGATGAGGGTGTTCAGAGCGAACTGGCTGCCTCATCAAGGCGCACGTATGGCGGCACGGCGTGCCATACGAGTAGGTTGATGTGCCGGGATACGCACCTCGCCGTAACTGTTATTGCGCTGACCGAAGCGGAAAGTGGAGGAGGTACGCATTCATGGAAGCAGGAAGACTTAACAATCATGCTAAGGCCCTGACCGGCAATTGTGGTTTACTGGCCACACGATTCTGTGATTGACAGCCAGGCGCTGCTACCAATTCCCAGGCGCAATGCGCCAACCGAAGCGAAACACCCCACCCAGATTCCAGAGGTGCCAGAGGCGTGCTTCTTCCCGCCCGAAACATGCGTTGCCGAACGGATTCTTCTGAGTGCAATTGTCGGGGGCCCTGTCTCCGAACTTGGGGTCCCCACCGGACGGAGCTCGAGCATGTGGGCCTGTGTGTTGTGTCCCTGGCGTCGTTGGCCTGCGCCCAGACCAAACCTAATGTTTGAGCACACAGTGTGAAGTCAAAGGTCCAATCAGTAGCCTTAGTAAGACTATAATACATTGATTGGAAGCGCTGGTGTTTTTAGAGCTAGTGCAGTCCAATTCCATCTGGGGCTTATGCCCCTCAGTTTGCACACAAATTTTCACGAGGCAAGTAGAGGTGAAGGTCCGACCACGGGCTTCGCGCTCTGCCCGATTTCCGCACCAAAGGAGCTATGTGCTACTTGCACGCAAGTAGCTATGCACAAGGCCTCCGCGACTTTTCTGGCACGCTTCCCTCTGCTGATTGGGGCCCCAATCCACTGCTTGCTTAATGTTCTTCTTGGTCTACTCGTCTCTCCGCCATTCTTTCTTTCCCGGCTCTGGCCTATTGCCATTATCTGCTACGTACTACCCAGAGATGCAGGGCGAACACGAAGAAATAATGCGGGAATAAGCAAATGCTTGTGCTGGGGACCGTGCCCGACATCACCACTGGTGAGGTGGACTTGCTTCGTCCCGTGACAAATGTCGTCGACCAAGGATTGAAGAAATGGCTCACGTTTGACTTCATTAACAGCCATAACATTGTGTGATGTTCATCGATTCGTCCCATCAACGACCATGCATAGCAGCTACCCAACGTTCTCCTGGGAGCCCAGGTGAGCAAATTGTACCTCGCGGCTAACAATTCGGCACCGATGCCTTCAAAGATGCCACCATCCACGATTGCACACGGTCAGACAGACCTCTAAGGCAAATTGGACCTCGGCCAGCAAGGTGCATGAATAACAGGAGTGGAAAGTGCATTCGTAGATCCCCATGCCCACACTGGCTCGCAGTTTGGGGATCCCCAACTGGGAACCACACTGCGTTTACTGAAAAACCGCAACAGACTTTCTCCAAGGGCTGCGGTGTCTAAGCGAGCACAATCGACTTGCTACGTCCCTTCCTCTCCCAACCACAGCACGTCGCTAGCGTTGCCAACGATTTCCAGGCTTTGCTGTATCCGTTCGACACTACTCGACGTCCTGGCGATCTAACTCTTATGCGCAAACTTGCTCACCAGCCTTCTTGACTCTTCACGAATCACCCAGCTCCTCGACGATGGGCTCGCGTTCCTCTTGTTGATGACGATCGGGTGCACCTTTCTTTCATCAGCTGGCGTCCTGGCCACACAGACTACCTCCTGCTGCTGTCCTTGGAGCCATGCTGGTGGGCAATGACGCACTTGGCTCAAACTTTGCGGATTTTGGAAGTTTGGGACCTGTCCATGCAACGGTTACTTTTTGCCTTGGCGGACGACATGCGCGCGAAGTGGAGGAGACGTCAGAGTATTGGCATTGGTTACGGCCACATGTGGTGTGCTTCAAATGCATCCGGGGGTGAACACAGTGTCGTGACATTCTTTGCCTTCACTTCAGAATATGAGATCTCGCCCAGTTTTGGTTCCGTTTCCGGCTGGATTGTCCTTCCCGTGCTGCAATTTGATCCTCACTCGTGTTCATGTACAACCTGGACGAGTGGTGGGCACAACCAACGTGATGTTCACGTTTACGTTTCGTTCGGGCCGAAGCGCCAGCATAACGTGAGACATACGATTATGTTCCCGTTTGCAGAACCCAAACCTACAATACACGTTCACACTCCCGTCTTGAGAGACCAAACGCGAGGCACACGTTTGCGCTTCCGTTTCCGTTTCCGTTTTAAAAGCTCAAACTTAGAGTACAGTCTGCGTTCCAGTTTTGAAAGGTCAAAAATATCGTGGGTGTTGCCTTGGCGTTCGCCACCCAGTGCACACGTCGCCGTGGTGTCGTGCTTCCGAGTCCTTTTCTTGTTTCGATGTCGATCCAGTACAGCGTGATTTTATTACGTTGTTTGTCTTGGGTATGTATCCATTCAGTTATGGTTGGTTCGTTGGTTCCGCAAGCCTAACCATCCAATAAACATCTGGTTCGGCCAGCACGATCCTCGTGCATAGTATGCACTGCCCACACCTAAACGACCCTGTGGCCAGAAACAGTGGGTGCTGGGAGTTTCAAAGGAAGTACTACAAACGCAGTCGTCTACTCTACTGGACGTCGGCGTTGACGCTTTCACAGCTCAAACGTGGGGAGCACGTTCACGTTCACGTTTTGAAATCCGAACGCCTTGCACGCGTTTGCGTATCCGTTTTGGAAAGCCAAACGTTGTGGACACGTTGAAGTTCCCGTTTCGGCCGCCTACGCCCACCACTGACCTGGACGTCTGATGGACCCTTGTTTCCAGCCAGGGAGCTTACAAGCACCTTGAGTGGCGCACAGTTGTTGGGCATCTCAAACCTAATTGCGCACAGGCATTGTTCAGTCACACTGACGCGCCTCAGCTGCGCAAACGCACCACATGGCGGTTACACGTCCACGGGCCCATCGCTCAAACCTGGCAGCTTTCCCTGCCTTCACTGGCTGTCCACAGCCGCATGACCAGAGGCGCACCCGCCAAGAGCAAGTGTTACCCTTGCCCCATGCAAGGCATCCCGCACAAGGCACAGCAGGCACTGCACTGCACTTGTGAATGGTATTACACGAAGCATTCATCGGCACCCCACCTGGCACGCACAAGCTTGAGCGCATTGCTCACCACACACCCAGCCTTCGAAACCACACGCTCAGCGCCACAGCATGTCAACGACCCGGAGATCCGCCTGCAAGGAGCCCAAACAATCCAAATCGCCCAAGCATCCCCCTCTACCCAACGGCAAACTGGAAGGTCACGGAAGCGGCATACCACTCGTGACGGGGACCAGCGTCCCACCGCCCCCAACGTGGACGGCAGGGCTGCAGGACACGTCACTGGAATGGCGTGGAGTCTGCTGCCTGTGGCCCTCGGCACTGCCGTTGTCCCTCAAGTATCAGAGGGGGAGCGCATGGTGGCTGCACTCGGCCCTCATGGATAAGGGCGCGAGCGCCCACCAATAGTAACCACATCTCTTGTGCGCACGTTGTGCCGCCTGGGTTGCCCAGGACGGGCACAACACAGGTGTGGTGTACACTGGGCCCGTTGCCCAGCCACTTGGGGACAGCGTCGCCCACCAGAAGACACCCGCAGTTCCATACGATTGCCTTGCGCGATCAAGCTTGATGTGTTCATTCCAAACTCCAAGAATGCAGTCCACAATTACAATGGGGCAAACCGAAGCCCCGCTCCCCTGTAAAACAGTTGGCTATCCCCACGTCGTAAAAATCCCCCAAAACCCGGTCAAAAACACAAACTCGCAGCGTGGACGGCCAGACGTGGCAGTTTAGGAGCCCAAACTTGCAAAAAATCATGTGCTTATTATTGTGTATTGCCATTGGTCTTGCTTGGCATGTCGGTTTCAGGCGCAGCACCAATCACGAGGTAGTCGTCAGTCAAGTTGCCTGGACTCTTCTATCATCCGCATGATGAACTTTTGCCTCCTGGCATATCCAGCGAATCTTGCTGATGCCCTCTTGGCCTCATCTGCAGTTGGCAGTGAATGAATGGTGTCAGGCAGTGAGAACGAGATGTCAAGGGGTACGCAAGCCATTATTTGCCGGTAAGTTCATGGAACAACCCACGACTTGCCACAGAACAGCAAGCAGGAGACTCTGTAAGAAACTGGAGCAAGGTGGAGGCAAGCCTGGCAACCAGCACAGCAAGTTAGCTCTGCACACAATGTCAAGACAATCTCCATCAGAGAGTCTCACACAAAGCAACTATGCCCACAAATGATTGTAAACCTAAAGTATCAACTTGTAATACCGATTATGCTATCCATTGTCTGTTGATAGGCTACTTCCATAATGTACTCCAGCAAAGCAGCAAATGTCCCCCCATTTTCACCAGTGAAAGTACATATGGGTGGCATTGTGAGTTCCATCTTTAACTTGTGCGCGAGGATACAAGCACCAAAGTGCGGCCTGGACTGCCAGTTTCAGACATTCCAATATAGGGGCGAGATCTGTTGTTCAGCCACCAGACAAACACATCGTACACGCCTTGCTGTTCCACCACATGCTGCCACTGGCAAGAAACACTGACATCTTTCCTCTAGTGATGCGGACACCCCCTGGAGTGCATGTCTGCTGCTTAGGCGCTTCATTGATGGTTCAATCTGGATGTCAGCGGCCCCACAGCACTGTGAAACACAAAAGAATGCTTTGCTTGGTCTTGCTAGGATAGGGGTGTTCATCGTGGCTTCTCAGGATTAAAAAAACATCTTGAAACATACACCCAAAGATTCCCCCAAGCTCACCTTCGTCTGCGCCATCATAAAATATGGAATTTGACACTGTTTCGTCCCCTCCAGTCGTTGCCGCCTTCTTTCCTCCTGGACAGCGGCACCAAAACAGCCTGCCCAGCAGTCTGCACATCCTCCCCCCTCTACTGCTCTTCTCCTTGCTGAACAGGCCCATCTCCGACCCCACGACGCTGCCCTCGGGCAGCGTGCCCGATACCGAGATGCTCTTCCTGTGTATGCTGCGCACCGGCGGCAGGCCGAACGAGGGGTCGTACACCTTGAACTGCGGATTCTGCGTGTATTGGACCACCCAGTTGGGCTGCCAGCCGTCGCTCAGGGGGTTGGCGTACTTGGACTCCAGCGGGTACACATTCACCCCGTTGCCCGGCCAGCTGACCGGGTTGTAGCCCTCGTCATCCTGGCCCTTGTCCTCCTGCTCGCCCGTCTTGGACCACCCCGCAAACGCCGTGTCGACCGCGCTGTCCCCCCGCTGCTGCCGCCCGCGCAGGCCCCGCCCATCCTTCGACAACACCGCGGGGTCCGACCGCGCCCTTGCGCGCCGATCCTCCCGCAGCCTGCTCCGCGGCGCTCCGCCCGCGCCGGCCGTGGCCTCCAGGCTCTCCTCCGACCCCCTGCCCGCCTGGGCCTCCCTGCTCCTGTTGTTGCGGGCGCTGTCCAGCTCCCCGCTGCCCATGGCGTCCGCCCTCGCCACCCCGCCCAGGTTCAGAACCAGCATGGGGCGCTCCGCCGTCTTGGCCACAAGCGACTTGTACCGCTCGCACAGCGTGCCCCCCGACCCCTCCCTGGCGTCCTCCGCATCAGTCCTCCCTTCCACAGAATTGGCGGGGGGATTCCCAGCGCCCATTTCCCCCCAGCCCCCGTCCCCCGGGACGAGGGACGGGCTCAGCAGCTCATCCAGCTCCTCCACGTCGAAGTGCAGGAAGCTCTCGTGGCTGGCGAAGACGTCCCTCATTGATGAACCCCGCCTGATGGACAGGGGCCGCTCTGGGCCCGCCGGCGTCAGGCACCCGCTGTCCGTGGTCACGAGCTCCGCCCGGACAACGCTGCCGCTCCTCAGCGGGCCCCCGCCCGGCCCCCACGACCCGCTGGCACCCGGCGACGCGCCCTCCATCCCCGCCAACCGCCCCGCAGCATCATCAAACTGCAATTCACCATCCCCCGCCCTGCCGCCCGGGCCCGAGGTGCTCCTCCGCAGCGCGGCAGGCACATCGACGGTCGACCACGGCGACGACGCGAGTGCGGGGGAGGCGACTGTAGATCCCTCCACACCGGCGATGCCTCGAGCGCCAGCCGCGGTCCCCGTTTCCGCCGACGCCCGCTGCAACCGGCCGTGGCCAATCCCGTGCCCGTCGCCCAGCCGCGAGGACGGCCCGCCGTTGGCCAGATGATCCCTGCAGGACGGGGATGAGCCGATGAGGGGCGGATTGTCGCATCGGGGTGTGTGGGGCGCGCCCCTCGCGCCCCATGCCCTGGCCCTTTCGCCCGCCAGGGCCGACATCCGCGGCGGCCGGCAGCTCGGCGGGCCGCGATCGGATTCCAGGCCCCATGACGACCGCGGCGTGGCGCCGGAGTCGCACGAGTCCAGGAAGCCCTCGATCACGGGGCTGTCGGCGCCGTCGCCCTCCAGCGACGCCAGGCGCAGGGCGCCCCGCCAGCGACCTTGGCACAAATTGGGCAGGTCGTCCCGGACGGCCGCTCCCTCCCGGCCGCCCCCTCCGGCTGGGCTCACGCCGTGGCTAGCATCGGGGGGCGCATTCGACCCCAGGCTGTTCGATTCCGCTCCTCCGTCCTCCCTAGCCTCCCAGCTGCCGCCGGTGCCGCTGCCCTCCCCCGCCCCGCCTCCCCCTCCAACCGGCGACCCATCCCCGGTCGAAACTTCCCCCAATTTTAGATCAGCGATCGCGTCGCCGCACCCGGCCGAGTCTTCGGACTCCTCGCGCAGGCTGGCGGGCGGCATCACGTGGGCGGCACCGTAAGGTTGGCTGCCCACCGCAAACAGCGGCGCCTCATGCCCGCCGTCCCGGGTCTTCCCTGCCCCAACAGCCCACAATTTCCCCTGTTCTGGGCCCTCGTCGCGTTCCCTCGCGCCTTGGGCCCCGCCCCAGCCGTCGGTGTGGAGCTCGAACTCGGGCGGCTGTTCGTGAAAAGCGGCGTGCGTGGCGAACGGCTGTTCAAAGTTCGCGGACAAAGGAGCGTGGGGCGGGCAGTCTTGACAGGCGCGGGCGTCAATCGGCTCAGGTGGACCCTCCGAACAGGCCAGCGGCCACAAACTACTGCCACCCGGCGCCTGTCAACGCGGCAGGAGACACCACTGGTCAATGGGGTGGTCAACGGCGAAGGGTGAGGAGATCATCGACGGTCAGACTGGAAAAGGCGGTCGATGACAAAGCCTGGCCGCTGGCCAAGCGGGCGAGGCTTCCCTTCCATCCGCACTTCGCGGCTCTCCGCTTTGTGTTTGGCTGAGCCGCGAGGCACATAAGGCAACGCGAGAAATGGGGGTGAGAAGCGCGGTATAGGGAAAGACGGCAGGTGCAGCTGGTACTGGTCGACAGCTGTCGGCGAGCCGCGCGGGGCACATCGCGCAAAAGCTGGCGACACGCACGGGGGGGGCGTTGGCCGGATACGGGGGCAGACTCCCGTGCACGGCGGGCGCCCAGGAGGTCGTTCGCAACGCGGCACCGGTCCGATCCGCAGCTAAGCCGGATGGTTCGATTTCGGGCGGCACGGTGCACATGCCGGCCCTCGCAGCTTCGCATATAATCGCCGCGAGGGCGCCGGTGGGCCACCGGCCCAAAGGGTATAACGACACGGAAACGCCGAAAAGGATGGGCGTCTGACCGACCTGCGGATCAGCGACAGCGCCGCCCAAAAGCATCCCGGCATGCCCAACCGCACCCCGGCATCTCGCGGGCAGCACCAAAGCAGCTTCGAGCGCCAAGCCAACTGGACGAAGAGAGAGTCGGCGACCGCCGCCCCCGCGACCGTCCGCCGATTCCGCATCGGCCTCACCTGAGCGCCCCCGTCCGGCGCAGTCACCCGAGTTCCCATGCCCCCAAACCGGCCGCGCACATCCACCGCGCCCCGCAATTCGCCCCCACCCCAAGAATCCAATCAAGGCACCTCTCAGCTCCTCCGCCGAAGCAATGGCTAGCTACGGCGCCGACGGCGCCCCCACGCGATCCCGCCAGCACCCCCCCGGCCGAGGTCTGCAACGGGGCGACGGGGTAGCTACAAATCTCAGTTCGAGTCTCTTCGGGTGGAGACCACTCTCGGCAAGCCAACGCAGGTGCCCCAGTCCTTGCCGCAGCCCATCGAATCGGCGGCCCGTTTTTCCGGCGGGCCCAGATTTGCTTTCGACGGGGCTGTGGGCTGGGCGGAGGCCTGGTGAGCCCCGCGCGGCTGCCCGCCGGCTGGCTTGGCCGCGCGCATTAGTGGATCCGCCGAATCGTCAAGCGCGCTGGGCTGGCCGAACTTCGCACGACGAGGGCGGTACGAATGCTGTGCCTTGGGAGGCCGGTCGCGCAATAGCGCCCCCCAAGACCCTGTCGACAAAAGCTGTCTCGTACAGACACGACGCCGTCTTGTGCGGCAGGCGTGACTATCAGCGTAAAGGAGGGGCTTGCGCGTTAAGTACTGGAGAGACGGTGCAGGAAGGGGGTGCTGGGCGGGCTGCTGTTCCAGGGGGGGACGTGGTCAGCGGGCGCCGCGTGGCTCTGCTCCGGAACGAGCGTAGCTGGTGGTTGAGGCGCAGCCGTGGAGGCCTGTCCGGTCGGGTAAGGCGCCGGGGAGTGGGACGCGGCGCGTACGATGGCACCAAATGGAAGGAAAACAGCCACGGGGGGCGACTCAAACATTTAAATCCGCTGCAGATCCCGGCCGTCAACCAAAGCGGGTGGGGCAGGGAGAATAGTGGTTGGTTGCGGGGTGAAGTTTGTAGTCTTTTTGGCGGTCGTAGACCATCAAGAACGATCAGCGACGTCGTCACGAGGCCGGGAGTGCCAAACGACTCCTGGTGCGGTCTGGCGGGCAGCAACACCGGGGCAGGGTGGGGAGCCGCCGGTGCTGATTCGGCTGGCGTTGTTGTTGTGGCCCTTCTGCATACCCAAGCTTGTGCATCAGTGTCACAATTACTCTCCATCCAAGGGGTGACGGTCACGATGCCATGGTTTCCTTTCCGCTTTGAAGCAAGCTTTGGGATGGGCGAGAAACATGCACCTCGCTGCGAATGAGCCTTGCTAACAGATACGAGCTCCTCAATGGCATCAAACTATGCTCATTTATCAAGGTTTTGAAACCACACAAACGAAGCTCGCTTCCCGTTCTGGTTGTTTGTCCATTCTCGACGAGAATATCGTCTGCATTTCACTGGCACTGACGGTCGAGCAGCCCTCGCCGTCGGCAGCAACAGACTCGATGCAAGGCTTGTTACTGTTGGCATGGTCTCAAACAGATGGGCACATTTGACTGGTGGCACTGGCATTCATGAGCACGGGGCCATAATGTCACCAAGGCAGCACAATTGTGCGCAAAAGGACCAGCAGGCGTGGTGGATGGATTCGCACTCTCAACAGCTGGACACTAGTCTTAGAATACGCATTGTCAAGGGTGCTATTGTCTCAAACCACTCTTCAATTAAAGAGCATCTCCATGCTCATGAGCGCGGTGCCTATACAGACACACACCACGGCACATCGACTGTGCTCAACTATCTCTGCAGAGAGCTGCTCAAGTCACCTGGGAAGGGACGGCCAGGTGAACGCTGTGCACAAGCATTAAAATCAACGACGCAATCCTTCAATCAGGTCCCAATGCAGCAACATTGGTAACTCTGACTCTTCCTCCCCATCCCACCCATTTGAGCCTTTGCGAATGTTGCTTGGTGGGCTTTCTTTTGCCTCAGGGCGCTTCTGGACGCTATGGCAGTCAAAGAGCCCTAAGAGATCTGGGAGCGATCTCAAAGATTGCAGTTGCAAGGCCACATACACAACTATTGCTCTATGCAAACACAGCATACCAAGGAGCAAGTTCTCCTGCTAGCTGGCTTTCGGCTGGGCAGGCTTTCCGCAACCCCATGGCTCAGCCATCCCTTTGAGTTGCTGTTCAAGAACACAAGAGCATCCATAGCCTCCCATATTTCACATCTTTTGTAAATGCAAACTTTCAGCTATTCAACCCCCTCAGAAAACATAAGTCTTGAACTTAGCGCCCCCTGCCACAAGGTCCATGTCCCTCTGACCCTTGGCAGTCAGCCGGCGGCCCCCCTTTTCATTGTCGCTCTTCTTCACAAACCCCACCTTCTCGAGCTGAATCAGGATGTGGCGAATAAGGCCCGCAGATGCGATCGCCTTCTTCTCAGGTCTTGCCCCCCTCCTGGAGGTGCGGCCACCGTATATCCTCCGGAAGCACCCAACACCGATGTCCTGGCTGAGATACAGCCTCCGGAGGATGGAGGCTGTTCCCACACAACGGAGTCAGGCCAAGATGGTCTACATCACTGCGAATTGCTGCATCGTAATAAAGCGACCAGATGCCACACACCTCCACGTTGGAGGAGATGCTGGGCGTTTGTAAGGATTGTTATCATTGAAATCGGCAGAACCAGGGTCAGAGCAATCAGTAGCCAGCTCGTTGTCATAATATGATGGTCACGCAATCTGCAGTAGGTGACATACTTTGAAAAAAGGCAGAGAAGGTGGAGTCAATTGTCCAATTGCAATTCCAAAACATAATCAAGATGCTTCGACAACTGCCTAGCAAGCAGCTGTGTCATACTGAAGCGAATTTCAGGTGGTGGCTGCTGGAGAGCTGGCTCACACAGGCTCCCCCCCAGGGCTTGGAATGTACTGGCATGTAACACAAACCCTCGGCAATAGATGGAATGCCCAATTTAATCAACATCCCGTGACAATCTCTGGTGTTGTACTCTGAACGAGAACAACTTGACTGCATCGGTTCTGCAACTGCAGGTTGGGCTGGGACTTCACCAAGGCATTTCATCGCGAAAAGATGATGTGCTGACAATCAATCGGAAGACAATCCGATCCAGTCAAAATACAGTCGGAGGAGCAATTACCTGCACGGATGAAATACCAATCGGGATCTCTAGGTGGGAGCTCCTTGAATGGAGCGGTCTTCACAATGTCCACCCACGGGGGCACCTCAAGCTGCGACAGAAATCCACAAAACATTAACACCCCCCCGGCCATGGAGGACCCGAAAACTCGCTCAAGGCTGCCTGCTATTCTGCTTGTGTTCTTAGATTGCCCGTCATCTTTTGCGGCACTGGCCAGCCTCACATTTCCTTTCCTTGGGGGTGATACTAAGGCAGGGCAAGTTTATGCCTGCGAGGCACGGTGCCGGATCGCAAATCGCGGTGATCGCACGGCGCATCCAAACGCGCACTCCCAGCCAACGCCGGTCCAGGACAACGCCCAGGATCCCCACCGCCTCATTCGGCGTCCATTCGCTACCCCAGCGCGCCGCAGCCGCACCCACAGCGTCCCCCCAAGCCCGCAAGGCAGCTGCACGGCGAGAGCCCCACCCCAGGGACGCCCGGTCCAGGGATCATCGAATCCCAACGTCCAGCCACCCCACTCGGACAGACAGATCGGCCGGCCCCCCTCCACCGGCGGACAGACCCCCCCCCGGCCTCTGCTCTCGCTGCTCAGCCGCGGACAACGGCCAACAGATTGTGCCGAACGTTGATCGCAGGCACCCGATTGCAAGCCCCCGCGTGTTCCCCCGCACCTTCTCCTTAAGGTGCTGGGCGTACGCCGCGATGAAGACCTCCGCGGGCACGTCCTTCACGCACTGAGCCTTTGACGCCATTGCCGCGCGGCGGCTGGCCCCGGCACGGCTGTCGGCGGGCTCCTGTGCCGGTGGGAGGGTGGAACGCGGGGCGCCGCCAGGCTTGGCGGCCGCCCTTCACTGCACGGGCTTCGATTGTTAGGGACTAGGTTATCCTGTTAGGTCACGCTGATACCGGTTCAATCGAGTCAATGACATGAATGTAGGACCCTGTACCTGTGTCAGGGGCTGAGCCCCAAGAGACACTCCGCTCCGCTGTAGTCCGTTGTCGCGTACTCAGGCCAACGACCCCCCCTCAGGTATTGCCACCCCTCGAACCTGCCGTCTTTCATCAACGGCTCCATCTTAGCATGATGATGAAATTCCATTATTTGCATGCCAACCGTTGGGTGCCACGTCACTGCCAAACCGCATAACAATAGTATGTCTATTGTTTGTCCCAGTCTTCGTCTCACTCACATGTTGCTTATCTGCCTCTACATGGAGGCACACAAATCATCCAATCTTCTCAGGATGATGAACACCGATTTTTGCAAAACACCGAGCGCCGTACTGGCCGTCACCCGTCCCCACTAACGTGGGCCATTGCTTGCGTGTAGGTGGTACTGATTCCCTTTTCGCATCATGCGAAGGCTCGTCACTGAGGAGCCCAGCGAAGAGACTCAAATAATTTATGGTGGTGATGCGCTGACCCTCACTTTAAAAATGCAACGAATATATGTTTGTCGGCGTCTTGCTTTTGTAGGTGTCAATTTCCCATTGCAGTATTCGAGCCCCTCTATTTCAATTATTAGTGTAGTTTAGACTAAGGACACTGCAAGACCTTGGTTGGTTCTTGTAGGAATCGCTATTTTTGTACCAAATCCTTGATACAGAACTTATTAATGTCCCGTGCACTACTGTTGCTCTGGACTCTACATAGTGTTGTCGTAAAGTATGATACCATATTTAGCATGTTATGGTGGCTCAAACGATCTGAACTTTAGACCCCATAATGTTTGTATTTTAAGATTCGTATTGTGTGGATATGTGAGAATGCACTTATCACAGCATATGAATACACGATGCATAACGGGTGTTAGCCATCGCTTATGATAAATCATAGATTGCAGGTCCAGTTTGACTGCTCCACTAGAATTTCGTTGTTTCAATTTTTCCAAAAATATAGAAAGTTCCCCATTAGGTAATCTTAGAAGCATGCTTCATGCTGAGGTGGCTGATTTCTAACGATTTTTGAATCAGTTCCAATTAATTGTTCTTGAGTTTGGGTGTGTTCCTACACTTTGGCGGTAAGTGCATTGGGCATTCTGTCATCTGAAAGACTGCAAACTTGGCAAGCTGTTACCGGATAGATATATTCATATGCCATGTTGAACCATTAGTGAACACTAAATTTCCCATTGCTTGATTCAATTTGCTTGAATAGCCCAATCGGGCCTTGCGACGCATTTCTAGCATATGGCATGCCTGTGAGCCACAACCGTTGAAGGTGTTTTGAGTTGGTGCTTTGAATCACGTGAGTCATCATGGGCGCAAATGCCATCGAATGCACTCCTTGATTTGGAAATTAAGAGTTTGAATACTCATCCTGTCTGACTTTGCGTGGTATTTGGACTCGAATTTTCACCCTCTTTTTGTACATCACATTTTTTGCACCATCCATGGATATAACATCTGGCTGCTGTTCTATCGAAATTAGTCGTTTCTACTTCTTAAAAATGCATCAAGAATGCGAATTGGACGTAATCTTGGGCTCTGTGTTGCACTAGCAAAAATGCTCTCTATTTGACATACGTATATTGATCGTGTGGGTGGGGAGAATATTAGTAGAGGTCTTTTAAATTGGTACTTAGCTTTTGCCATCCTAGCAAACAAATTTATGTACAATGTGATAATTTATGATATGCCAGAGTGAGTAATACAGCGATATGGGGGCATTGTTGAAGCAACTCCATAAGATAAGGCTGGAATACAGGAATTTATCAAAACACCATGGTGCCACGGCACTCAATTAAAACTCAAGCCACACCAATTTTCGCCCTCTAGCAATCTCTCAGGTTCTTGGCGTCTACTTATTGCAAAGGAAGTCTATTGTTGGGACCTTCAAACAAATCGACACTACGAGGATGGGAAAGGTATATAGGTGATTGTGTGGAGTGTGGTATAAAGCACAGGGGGTGTTTCCTTGATTATGGGTATCTAGAAAGTACAATGGGTATTAAAGGACAATTTTATCTCTTAGTAGAACTTACTAAAAGCCCATAGGTTCTTGAATCAGACCATTCGGGTTAGCGGTAGTGGAGATATAGCCATTAAAAGTTCTAGTACTTAAAGGCGCCTCCGCAACCGTACTGGGGGATGAGATACTATCGATACGCTGCATTGTCACGTGATGCGGGGTACGCCAAAGGGTGGCCCCGATGTCCGATGGTTGTAACTCTTGCCGACCACTCGCCTCCGCACGGCTGCACCCACGAGCCGCACTGGCGTCGCGCACCCACTGCGCACACTGCTGCCCCGCGCCCGGCCGACCGCAGGCTTGGGCCCACACTGCGCACTCCGAGGAAGCGAGCGCCCCGGACCGCCCACTGTCATTCAGCGGAGGAGGCCATTCCGGACGGATTGGGCACTGCGGCGGGCACATTGCCCACGCATCGAGCCGAAAACCATGCCTGTGGTTGTGGAGCCGGCAGGCGCGGAAGGCGGAAGCGCGCCACGCGGCGCATGAGAGCCGAGGGGACCTGGCCCGATGGCAGGAGGGCCCCCCATTTGCGAGATATCCAAGGAGAAACGGCCGGCCAGGTGGGCGCCTCGTGGCGCTGCCTGAATCGGCCAGGGATTCCGAACTGGACCGAATGCATGGCCCTAAGGAGGGGGGTGTAATCTGCTGCTTCTCACGCCTAGCCCAACGGTAGGGAGGCATTGGCTTGTGAATCCGCGCACCGAGCTAGACAACGGGGGGTGCATTCTGCGGCATTGGACTGCCGGATCGGGGAATCAGAGACACCGCTTGCACAGGGCATCCGGGCCCGGCGGCGTGGGTTGTGATCCGCGGACCCGCGCAGTGAATTGGCGGCGGGGGACGCAGGCCGGTGGGTGCCAGGACCGTGGAGGGGTGCAGTGAGCAGAGTGAACAGGTGGAGGGGGGCACCCCCGGTCGCGGGGGTTAATGCAGGCAGGCGTGACTTGACCCCTCCGAGTGACGTGACGGGGGGAAGCTAAGGGAATCCGCCTGCGCCGTGTACAGCTGGCGGGGGGGGGTCCGGAGCAGCGACCTCCGAGAGGGGGGCGCCACTGAGTAGCGACCTGCCAGGCCTTGCAAATGAACTGTGCCTCGTCCTGTGACTCTGCATAATACTGGATCTGGGAGGAAGGTGATTCCCCATTACAGGGAGCCTCCTGGGAAGTTTCTGCTTGCATCAGCACTCTACAGGAGCAGCTGAGAGATCCATAGACCCTCTCAGTGGGTGGAGAGCGGTTCTCTATGCCAAACTTGGAGTAGTTGAGGGGTCAATGAAACCTCTCAACGGGTGGAGAGTAGCTTCCAGCGACTCGACTGGAGTAATTGGGGTGGATTGTTTGCCCCTCAGCAGGTGGAGAGCAGCTTCCAAGAGGACTCTATTGGAGTAGCTAAGGGGGTTGATTGCCTCTTAGCGGGTGGAGAGCAATTCCACGTCCGCCCTACAACGTATTGCGGAGTACGACAGCTCCCCAAGAGGCTCAGTAGGGTGCCTAAACACTAGAGCCTGATCTACAGAGGCCAGTAGGGTGCCAGTGCACCAGACCCAGGGCCCTTCGAGCGGGCTAGTGTTAGATTAGTGGGCCGTCCAACTCCAATAGGGCAGTAGGCTAGGAGGTCGGGGGCGAAGGGCTGAGAGTCACGGATTGTACCTGACCAGCCTAGACCGTTGTGAAGGGTTATCCCCGCCTAGGGAATCCTGCCTGAGGGGTGAACCTGGGTTCAAGCCGGCAGGAGCCCCACACGGTGTAGGGGGGTGCGACTAGGAACGCGATAAACGGGACATGGACTAGTTTGCACCTTACATAACCCCACGGATGGCAGTCTGAGTGGGAGCTCTTGGTGCCTATCACTCGCGACAAAAGGCAGTAGGGGAGTGGCCTATAGTTGTTGCGCAGACACCCCTATTGTTCCGAGCTGAGATCAGTGCCCCCCGAGCTGCCATCTAAGTGATTGGTGGTGGAGGGCTTCGAGTGGGCTGGGAAGTGAGGCAGTTGTGTGGCCGTTTCCGGGTAGTCTTCCCTAGGCACGGGGAACAGGGAAAGTTTAGCTCTAATCAGCCGGTGGCATTCCCGGGGTTGTGGTAGGGAAGCCTCTCTTTAGAGGGGTGAGTAAAATACTCCTTGAGTATTCTTAAATTCCCTATTGCTAACCTAGGAAGAAACTGGTTGTAAAGACTGTTCTAGAACTGCTATGGTGAAGCCATTTGATATCTTGTTAGTTGGGGAAGTATAGTACTCATTGACTTGGGTACATCATTTGGTGGATCCTAGGGCTTACTTTGAGCGAGTAGAGACTATGTACCAGGTAGCCCTGGTATTGGAGGCTTCCAAAAAGCCTTTGACTATGGTCTACGCTCAGTTTATTCCGTTCAGTCAGCACCATCAGTTCTCAGTCAGTCATCATTCAGTCTTCATTAGTTTTGCTAGGATTATTGGGGATTCTTCCTGCATTCATTATTGTACTCTGTACTTTTGCTGTTTTTGCGTGAGTGAGTAGCTATGGCAGATAGATGGGATCCATTGGCATTTATGTGGTCGGAGATGGAG